TTCTCCTCAAACTCGGAGAAATAAATCATATAGTCATCACATCCGCAGAGTTTGCCAGCAAGGTTATGAAGACCCATGACAACCACTTCGCTTCGCGTCCCGAGTACCTTGCCACCAAAATCATCTTTTATGATAGCTCCGACATCGCCTACTCTCCTTACGGTAAATATTGGTCGCAGCTAAAAAAGATATGCACAGTTGAACTACTCTGCGCAAAACGCGTCCAGTCTCTCAATTTCATAAGAAAGGAAGAAGGAGATAGCCTTGTAGATAAGATCCGCATGGCGAGGGGATCGCCTGTCAACCTCACAGAGATGTTTTTATCTTTGACAAGGACGACCATCTGTCGGGCGGTGTTCGGGAAGGACTGCGGTCATCACAAAAAATTTCTAAATGTGTTGAGAGATGCGTCCAAGCACATGTCGGGATTTGATATTGTAGATTTTTTTCCGTCTTTGATGTTCATGAGCAAACTTACTGCTTCGAGGAGACGGCTGGAGAGAGTGCATCAGGTTTTGGATGAGATTTTGAATGAGATAGTTGAGGAGCATCAAGCTAAGATCATTAAGCGAGGTGACGTTGTTGAGGATATTGTTGATGTTTTGTTCAGGCTTAAGAATCAAGGGGAGTTGGATATTCCTCTCACCACGGAGAATATCAAAGCAGTGATATTGGTAAGTGCTATTTCTTTTCCCGACTAAACAGCCTTTCTGAAAGAGACTTTCTTTATGCATTATTACTTTTCTGCTTTTTGATTACCCGCATCAAATATAGACACCTTCTGTTTCCTTTTTATCGAAGGAATTAGGAAATAAATAAATAAATATGGTTTAAAAATTTTGAGAAGAAATCAGGTGGACTAATTATTTCAGGTTTTTTTTATGTATATGAAAGGACATCATTTACATTACTGTAAACACCAAAAAGTTTCTGTGATGTTTAATTGCCCCTATTGAATTAAAATTTAGTCTTTTTGTTTCTCGCAGGAAGAATTATATATTTGAAAAAAATACATTAGAATATTCTTATACAAATTATATCTTGATGAAGGGCAAAAGTATTAGATTTATTTTAAAATTAAGAATAATCATATATATATATATATATATATATATATATGAAGAGCCAGAAAAACAAAATATGAATGACCACCTACAAACGGAAGACCAATGGCTCATGGACGGAACATCAAGAAGCAACATCCGAAGGCTAAGTATTCACTAGCGGAAAACTAAAATACTTTTATGACCAAGTGTAACCCCCCTAAGCCCCAATTGGAGGCCGACCGAGCGAAAGAATGAAACAAATTGAGCCAAGCAGAGACATTGATCTATCTCTTATCATGACCCAACTCAAATGAAGAGTCTAATATCGTTAGCTTTCTCACTCACACCCCAAAATCCTATCATCTAGTGCCAAGAAACAGTCCTCATATAACAACACGAAGCATCCCCAAACGATCAACTTGTCAAGGAATAAGCAACATGTTGAATTACGGTGATTCACTCTCTACAGCTTTCTCACTGACACCCCAAAGTCCATAATCTAGTGCCAAGAAATAGTCATCATATAACAACACGAAGCTTCCCCAAACGATCAACTTGTCAAGGAGTAAGCAACATGTTGAATTACGGTGATTCACTCTCTACTTAATAGCCTGGCCTTACCTTGCCATTAAGGGTACCATCTTCAGGAATTAATAGTCTGCAACTAAACTACTATAGTCGCCCGATATAATCAAGCCAGTTGAGTCAAGTCGCACTGACTCGATGACCATCAAGGGCTGACTGGCACCCTGATTCAACAAAGGAAAATGAAAAGGTCTAGCCAAATCAGAATCGATTAACTCAAGCCAATCAAATTTGTTGTTAAATCTTTCATTTTTTAACAATATTATTAATCCTTCATTTAACTAAATGGTCATACAAAAATTGAATGAAGTGTGATTATGGATGAGTTGCCTTAAATTTTGTTTAGATTAATGCAAGATATTTGAATAAAAATCCAATAACATGACAATAATTTTTGGTAAATTATGAATTAGAAATCACTGATCTTAGACATTTAACTTTTTTTACAAGATATTTTCTTAAAAAAAAAAATTAATAGTTCTATTAATAATTTTTTTTTGTAAAGAAATATTAATGATTTTACATATATTTAAAGTTGTTTAGTAGTTTAAGTACTAGTCACCATCACGAAAATAACACGAATACAAATAAGGAAAGTTCACTTAATATGTACATTTAATCCAACCTTTTTAAAAATGTGAACTTCTACATTTGTTTGACTAAAACACATGCTCATATTGTTGAATTTCTTCTAAAGTAAAATAATTATAACAAATAAATGGTAATTATAAAGGGTGACAAAAAGTATATGTAAAAGAAGTAAAACAAAGAGGTCATATCAAGCCAAAATTGTTTCTCTATTTAGATAAAACCTAATATTAAAAATGAAGAAAAATTTTGTATAACAAGGACATTTATTATGAAATTTCTTTTTAACCCTATACATTTTATCTTTTATTGTTATGATATTAGAAATCAAGTTACTCCATCAAAGCATGTTCATCTCATCTAACAACCAAGGAAATAAAGATGAACTAGACTAGATCATATTGAGTTGGGTGATGTTAAAGTGCATCTAAAGTTATTGAAGAGTGCATTTATATGTGTATTTTATAAACTAAAGTGAAAAGACTGTTGGTGGTGGTGTTATGGATCTACTACAGAGGGGCTAAATGTACGATACAATTTTTTGAACTCTCATTAGCATCTAGAGACTAGTAATAACTAAGGGCAGGCCACTCTTGAGTTTGTTGAATGGAATATCCTTCAAGAGTTGGGTTCTCAAAAGAAAAAAGTTCATTAAAAATGCATGATAATATAAAGCAGAGTCACTAACAAAGAAAGAAAAAATGAACTAGTAATCAAATCCTAGTTTGATATTTTGGTGTTTGTAGAAATCAAGCAGGAGAACTTGATGCATCTTGAGTATTGTTCTCTCCATTAAGTTTGGTAGGAGAAAGATTAACTAAGTGGCTGAAATTAATATGAAAAACTAATATAAAGTCTTTATAGTGATATGGATTTGATAATTGTCATTTCCATTTTGCGTTGTAGGGTATACAAGATTATCAACACTAAATTGTTAAAGTGTGAGTTCTCCTTAATGTAATATCTAGAGATTTGAATGTTATGACCGAGATAACAATAATGAATGCAAAGAAACACCATTTTTAAAGGTTATTCTTGCCAAAAAAGTTTCTCGACAGTACTACTTCAAATTTTATCTAACGTATTTTAATGAGAATTAATTTTTTATAAAGACTTTTGTAATTGAAGGCCTTGATATGCAGTTCGTAGGTAAATCCACACCAAAAAAAAATTCAAGTGATAAATGATGATCTAGTCAAATATACAAACTTTTAAAAGAGGAAATGTTACCCAAACCTACGCAACACATGATTTAGTTGAGTATTTAAAATATTGGCTTCACTTAATTTCCCCAGTAATGTAAATTTTAATCAATCCTATAGTCTAGAAAATATACCATCAGGAATTGAAATTGCATGCTTAACGTAGTCTATAAATGATGAAATAAGTTGTTAACTGAGAGGAATATGACATGAAGGAGCACTGAATCTAATCCAAGCAACCTTAGATTTGCCTGGAATCACATCCATGAATTCCCCTTGAGTAGAAGGCTTAGCTGAGGTGAGCAGAATGCCACTAAAAAGGGGTGGAAAGTGCTAGGAGCAAAGAATAATCTAAAGCTAACATGAGAGAGTATAAGGACGGATTGTTGTTAGCACCAAGAGGGAAGAAAGCGACATATATAGACACAACCATGGAAAGATGGCGAATGAATTGTAAATGAACTTAAACAACTAGGCATTATGCAACACCACACCAGTAGAAGGAAGAAAGGGACATATATTGACACAACCATGGACAGTTAGCAAGGGAGACAAGAAAGAGCTTTGAGAAAAGAGTATGTATAAGGGATACACTAAGGAGGCTTGACTTGGTGAAGGTGATAAATGTTCCACAAAAGAGGTTAGTGACTAAGTAAAAAGACCTATAACGGAATTAGTGATGGTGGATGACATTTAGGGGTTTAAGAAACGTAATGATAGTGATAGTGGCTAGGTGCAAGATAGGTGATGACAATAGGACACTTAGGTTTAAGTGAGAAGGTCTATGCAAAGAAGGCTAGGTTCTAGCAACTACGATCACGATAGAGCTCGAACTAGCTAGAGGTTTTATTGTTGTTAAAAATACTACTTTCATTCTATATTAGACAAAAGTTAACAAAATGCTAATTATTTTATTCACTCAGCTTTAAACATTTATTCAATTATTATCAAATTTGTTTAGTTTTATATCACCATTATCCATGTATATTCTAACTTATCCTCACAACTGATTCTCAAACTAGGTTTATTGAGAATAACATGTGAATTAACATCTATTTTGGTAGATATTATGTGGAAAAAAACATTTAGATAATTTTTGCCAAAATGTTTAGTATTATCAACAAATATGCATTAACATCTATTTTGGTAGATATTATGTGGATATTTTCTTAGAAAAAAATTACTATAAAAAAGTAGTACTAAAGGAAAAAACATTTAGATAATTTTGCCAAAATGTTTAGTATTATCAACAAATATGCAATTCTTTTTATCGATAATGAGAAAAAAATATACTCATGATAATCAGAAGACTTTTGTCAAAGAGAAAAAAAATCATACTTTTTATCTAATACAATACAAAAATCATTTTCTAGAAATAAAAATTTGAGGTAATCAAATGAGTAAATGTCCGATAGGTCTAGCTCATATGGTCCAGAAAATTTTAAGCAAGTCATTTTTTTTATAATCACAATATACAAATCAATTTTTAGAAAGAAGAAACGAATAAATGCCTGATGGGTGAAGCTTACATAGTCTAGGTAACTTTAAGCAACGAGGTGCTCTCAAATTTAAAAAAAATGTTATATATATATATATATAATGCTTATGCGTGTGAGATAAAAAATATTTATTTGTTTTTTCTACAATTTATATATTACTCAGTTCTCTTCTTTTGTTGCTTGCTAGTGATGCCTATGTTCTTGTACTTACCACCATTAACCAATCATCAATAAGTCAGCTACACTCACTCTCTTATACACTGCAATACATACAAGTTAAATTTCATTTAAAGGATTTTAATCAAATTTGTTGTTCCCATATCTCTTATTAGGGACGGAGAGATAAAATCAAATTTGAAGAGTAAAGATTTGGCTAAATATGCTAATGATTAAATTTATTTTTTGTATCAAAGTTTTGGTATTTGACCGAGTAGGTACTTCATATTAATATACCTGCATATTTTTTAGCTATTTATAGTATCGAAGCCATTATTCTCATATTTCTTAATAGTTATTATATGTATTAAAATCTTGTATTTTTATTTATCTTGCTATTTTGCTAGGATTTATTTTTACCTGGAACCGACACCACAACTGCTACAATGGAATGGGCCATGTCCGAGCTCATTAAACACCCCAATATCATGAAAAAAGTTCAACTAGAGGTGAGAAATGCCTTCATAGGAAAAGAAAATATGGATGAGAGAGACATTAGCAAGCTTCCCTATTTGAATCAGGTGATTAAGGAAACTCTTAGACTACATCCTGTGGGACCTTTGTTAGTTCCTAGAATTTGCCGTGACAAAATCGTATTAGAGGGCTACACAATACCTTCTGGAAGTCGGATTGTGATCAATGCATGGGCTATCATGAGGGATCCAAGATGTTGGGTTGATTCAGAGATGTTCCGACCAGAGAGATTTGAAGATGCTACTTTTGATTTTAATGGGACCAAATTTGAGTACATTCCATTTGGTGGAGGAAAGAGGATTTGTCCAGGCGCAACATTTGCAATAGCTGGCATAGAGTATTGGCTTGCACAATTACTCTTCCACTTCGATTGGGAGCTCCCTGGAGGAAAGTGCCCCGACGAATTAGATATGAAAGAGATTTTTGGTCTTACAGTAAATAGAAAAAATGATCTGCTCTTAGTTGCCACTCCATATAAATAATTTTCCATTTGCTAGAGAAAATAATATATGGTGTTCTTCTAAATAAATAATTGATGTTGTATCGTGTTCTTCTAAACGTGTCTGAAGACATTTTATGCAAAATCGACGTTTTTGTTTTTTATTTTGAATAAAACTTGTTGTTCTCTTTCTTATTGAGACATTCTTGCATTTTGGAAAGTTGGTCTTTTACTTTTTGGGGGAAGGTTTCAAAAAAGAAAATTTCCTATTAAATATTTTTGGAGTGAGTTATAGATGGCTAGCAATAAGAAATTGTATAAACTAAGGGTCTGTTTGGGATATATTTTTGGCTGCTTAATTTTTTATATCGCTACCATAACATTGTTCGGGGAGTTACTTTTTTGCTGTTTTCAAGAAATTTTTGGTATGAATCTAATTTTTTTAACCTGAATCGTTAAAGTGTGGTGGTTATCAAAAATGTGTAGTATAATTTTTTAAATTAAAATAGATTTGTAATAGTCACCGTAGTTTTTTGAACAACAATTTTTTCTATAGCAGCTTAACAACTACTTTTTTCAACTACCTTTTTTCTATAGCAGCTTAACAACTACTTTTTTCAAACAACTGTAGCAACAGCTGTAGCTGACCCCAAACAGACCTTCAACTGACAATATTTGCTGCATGTTAATCCTAATGAACCAACAAAAATTATATATATATATAGATATGTATGGTGTAATAATCGATTTAACAATTTTATTCTTAGAGAAGTTAAAATCCAAATAATTTCTTTTATTAAAAGAATCTTATTATTAATGATAAATCTAGGCTACAAATATATAGCCAAATAGAGATTTAGTGCGGAACTTCCACATAATTATGGCTTCCAAACAACAATCACATTCTTTTTCGAGCACAAATTTCTTGATAATTTTAAGAAATTTCTATATTTTAAAAAAAAAATTAATATACCTGATTTTACTTCGAATATATTAACTATTTAAAGGCTAGATTCCATTTTTTTTTAATAGAATGGAAGTTCATAAAACGTACACCCCTTTCAAGATATTATCTTCTCTTTACAGCAATTCTATAACACATTTTAGCCCATTTAAAACATTTTCAATTTATTAATCAAAATTGCAATCCTATTATGATGAAATTAGAAACACAATGATATAGCCGGATAAAATTCATGGCACAATTGCTGGAGAGAATTATCACAACGTAATAAACTACAGAAAACACAGTGTAACGAAGTACCCCATAAATGATGTAATGAAGTACCTTGAGTACTATGTAATGAATATCTTGAGCACAGTGCATACGCAACAATAAATCGTGATAAAAACTAATTATGACTACCACACTTAGAATAAGGCGACTTTCTTTGGAATCCTAAAGTTCTCTCATTTTATCATATATTGAAAAGTGATGTCTAAGGTGCATTAGTAAAAAAAAAAAGGATACAACCACTAACAACTATAACACTAATTATGGTCTTTTTGGCCAAATTATGTTGTTACAGCTTTTAATAATGGCTTTTATGGCTAATTGACACTATTACAACTTCCTAATATGGCTTATAGTGGAGCACTACAAATAGATTTTAACAAGATAGGCCTCGATCACCATCGACCACTGCCTGTTGGCAGCTGTCAGCCCCCTCATACTCGCAGTCATTGATGAACCTTATTGTGTAATGAACTATCCAAAAAAATAGAGTAACGAAGCACCCAAAAGTATAATGAAGTACCTTGAACACAGTGAAAAAAAGTGCCCCAAACACATCGTAATAAACTACAAAAAAAACATAGTGTAACGAAGTACCTCATAAATGATGTAATGAAGTATCTTGAGTAATATGTAATGAAATATCTTGAATATAGTGAATACCTAATAATATATCCTGATAATAACTTTATTTGGACTCCTACAGTTCTCTCATTCTATCATATATTGACAAGTGATGTCTAAGATGTAATAGTAAAAAAAAATGGTTATAACCTGTAACAACTCTAGCACTAATTATGGTCTTTTTGGCCAAATTATGTTGTTGCAACTTTTAATAATGGCTTTTATGGCTAATTGTTGCTACTACAACTTTCCATTATAGCTTATATTGTTGATTCCTAAATTACGACTACCATACTCAGAATAAAGTGACTTTATTTGGACTCCTAAAGTTCTCTCATTATATCATATATTGACAAGTGATGTCTAAGATGTAATAGTAAAAAAAAAATGGTTATAACCTGTAACAACTCTAGCACTAATTATGGTCTTTTTGGCCAAATTATGTTGTTGCAACTTTTAATAATGGCTTTTATGGCTAATTGTTGCTACTACAACTTTCCATTATAGCTTATATTGTTGATTCCTATTGTAGCTTCCAACGATGACCTTTTTGGCTAACTAACACTGCAGTAACTTCCCATTATAGCCTATGCGGGGTACTACTACTGTAGCTTCCAAGTACAGCTTTTATGGGGCTTATATTGTTGATTCCTATTTTAGCTTCCAACGATGACCTTTTTGGCTAACTAACGCTGCAGTAACTTCCCATTATAGCCTATGCAGGGTACTACTACTGTAGCTTCCAAGTACAGCTTTTATGGCCAACTATGATACTACAAATTCCCAATATGGCTTATGTGGTTCACTACTATTTGACAACGACTTTATATATGCAATAAAATATAAAATAAATATGGTATTAAATATTCAATAATTGTAAAGTCACACTTATCAACGCAAGTATACGTATCGCTCAAGTAATATAGGGCCCTAATGGAGTCCTAGACATCGATCCCACAGGAAGTAGTTTAGAATTACGGACTAAAACCTTAGAATAACAATACTTTAATCACAACAACGACGTTTAATTTTTTTATCTGTCACTAATAGACAATTGAAATAAATAGATAATGGCTCTCACTTTGGAGCTCCCACGTTCCCCTCACCTGAGGGCTAACATCTACACTTCAGCACCCAAACGATATGACCGAATTGGGGATTTTAGTCTATCACTCTAAAATCTCCAATTCTACGCTCGATAATAATATTTCTCTATTTATTTTCAACCAACTTCCAAGGCCTTTAACCTCCCTAAATCTTGGATGTAATCTTCAATTTAGTTGTAAAACTTAACATATTTTAACAAATAAATTGGCCAGATTGAAAGTAAATTAAAATCAAAGTTTGAATTTCTAATGGTGGGGGTACCTTTTCTAATTTTCTAAGACTAGTCAATATGAAAGTCCTATGGCTAGACCTAGGCTACTAAAGAAGTTTCTAGACCTCAACCAAAAGTGAGGTCATATGGGGAAAACCCAATAAAACTCGGAATTCATATATATAATCAAAGT